GGCAGGAGGATGGGGAATGGGCATAACGGGGGGGCAAGAGGGTGGAAGCCAGGAGCAGCAGCATCAGGCGGGTGTGCCGTCACACGGGACATGATAGCACACGTTGTCACACTGCTGCATCAACTGGGCCCAGGCGCGGTCCTGCCACTCCCAGTCTGCACAGACCTTGTGTGCCAGGATCTGGTGGATGTTGCGAAGGACACTGATTTGCTGCTGCATAAGGTCCTCATGCACCCTGGCACGCCTTCAGGTCCCCGGGGCTTTTGCAAAAAGGCGTCTTCCTCGTGGAATGAGGATTGCCACAGTCGGAGAAAGCCCTCTGTGCTTTCCATTTCCTTGTGAAAGGATGCGCTTGCAGTGTGCACGTAACTCAAGTTCCTCAAAACTCTGTAGTGTAGACATACCCAGGGAAACAAGCCAGAATCTGACCCTCTCGCTTTTTCTGCTGCTGCCTAGAAGGCCTGGCGAAAAGCAGACAGGGCTCGGAATGGCTTAGTTTGCTCCCCTGAATTTGTGCAAGGCACCCACTGCTGCTGAACTCTCTGGAGGGAAGATGGCTGTTTGGAAATCAAAGTGCATTAACGAGTGTATTAATCCAGTTACTGCTCGCCATTCATTCGCCTGCCCTGAAATGCTGACTGCTCCGCAACAGGACAAGCCAGGGGTATTTCAGCTTCAGGCTACACTGAAGAAAGAGGAGGTGGGGTCATGAATGAGAGAGAAACTCAGGCCTGGTCTACACCTAAGAATTAGTCTGATGTCGTTACATAACTTGGGGCTGCGAAATAATTTGCACCCTCTGAGGTATAGGTAGGTCAACCTGCCTCACATTGCGGCCAGTGTGAGGGTATGTCTACACTACAGCACTAATTCGAACTAACTTAATTTGAATTAGTTAATTTGAACTAAGCTAATTCGAATTAGGGCATCTAGACTTAAAAACTAATTCGAATTAGCGTTTTGCTAATTCGAACTAGCGTTTCCACACTGATTGGACGCTGGGTCTCATTTAAGGGCAGCTGAAACTGGTTCCGGCAGGGCATCAGATTAGTAGTTGCTTTGTGTGGATGCTGTCTGAGGCTATCTGAGGCTCATGCTTAAAGGGACCCCCCTACACAGCCGGTTCTCAGCTTTTCCGCTTGCTTGCCTACCTCACAGAGGGACAGCAAAGTATTTTTCTCTCCGCCTGCCTGTGTCGGTGCTTCCCCTTCCTGGAGCGCTGGGGAGACCTACAGTGGACCCAGAACTTCAGGATGAAGAAGGACCCCTTCCTGGAGCTCTGCGAGTGGCTCACCCCTGCTCTGCAGCAACGGGACACTCACATGAGGCCTGCCATCCCCCTCCAGAAGCGTGTGGCCATCGCTCTGTGGAAGATCTCCACGCTGGACAGCTACCGATCCGTCGGGAACCAGTTCGACGTGGGGAGATCCACCGTCGGAGCAGTGCTCATGCACTGGGCTGAGCGGAAGGGGAGCTGCAAGGAGGGTATGGGCCGCCCCAGGGAAAATGGGAGGGGGGAAGGAGGAAGCGAAAGTGCCCCGCACAGGAGGGTTCGGTCTGTCCCAGCCGTACTACACGCCACCCGTGGGGGTTGCTTCTGGGAGTGGGGCGCGGGGCACTGCCAGGGCACGAACACTCCCAGCCACCCGGGCACCCCAGTGATTCGCTGTTTGCTGTGTCCCTCTACAGGTGGTCAAGGCCAGCAACTGATCCAGACGCCATTATCCAGTAGTTGCCAGGGCCCGAACACTCCCAGCCACCCGGGCACCCCAGTGATTCGCTGTTTGCTGTGTCCCTCTACAGGTGGTCAAGGCCAGCAACTGATCCAGACGCCATTATCCAGTAGTTAAGCCTCCCAGTACATCAACTGCAAGGGCTACTTCTCCGTCCTCCTGCAGGCCGTGTGTGACCACCGGGGCCAGTTCATGGACATTAATGTGGGCTGGTCCGGCAAGGCACATGACGCACGGCTGTACCGGAACTCCTCCGTGTGCCAGCGGCTGCAGGCCGGGACCTTCTTCCCTGACCCCACATCAGGGTCGGGGACGTGGACATGCCCGTGTGCCTGGTGGGGGATGCGGCCTACCCACTGCAGCCCTGGCTCATGAAGCCCTACACGGGGCATCTCAACCTCTCCCGCCAGGCCTTCAATGCCAGGTTGACCAGGGCCCACATCGTGGTCGAGGGGGCCTTCAGATGCCTGAAAGCCAGATTTAGGTGCCTCCTCACCCGCCTCAACCTCTCCGAACACAATATCCCTCCCATGGTGGCAGCATGTTGTGTGCTGCACAATTTGTCCGAGCGGAAGGGGGAGGCTTTCCTGCCAGCCTGGACGGCTGAGGCTGAGCGCATGGCTGGCCAGTACGCTCAGGCCCGCACCGCCACCATCCGGGGGGCC